TTTCTTTGCATCAGTTCGTGCCGAGCCAGAGTGTGTGTGTGTGTGTGTCTGGGTGGGCGGGGGTGGCGGTGCCGATGGTGTCGTGCCCTGGAGATGCAGGTCGAGATTTTCCTCCGATTTTCCGAGATTGCCGTGGAGACCAAAAAGCGTGACGTGATCCAGGCCGGATCGCGGCCCATGAGCAATCACTTCAGTTTTGGCCTCGAACCCAGACCGTGCACATTGCAACCTTCTCATTCGAGTATCCAGGCACGCGGCGTGTCGATGAGTTCCTTGACTTGGCGCGATGTGGTGGTGAAGCTCCTGAGTAATGAAGCACATCTGCCTTTGCAGAGTCAGTTGCCCAGTTTGGGTCGAGATATCGTTTGGAAGGCAGCGCAAAGTCTCTCAGGAAGAGTGCAATACGTCGGTGAGCGCATCAAATGGTTCTTCCAGATCCAAAAGGCTGGAAGGCTGCATCCCCGACAAGCCCAAGACTTCTGAAAAGCAGGAAGCCGTCATCGACTTCATGGCCAGCTTGGAGGGGAACCCAAGCTCGACGATGTATTCCAGCCTTCTCTGGAAGAATGTGCGCCCAGGGTATCGGTAGTCATATATTATTCTCGACAGTCCATGCAGCTCCGCTGACATAAGTCTGCAAAGGTGAAGCTCATTAAGCAGAATGAGATGATCAAGCACTTGGTCTTCTCTACCTACGATCAGGCTTCAGCATCTTCAGCCACCCGACGCATCCTGCAGCAGCCATTCGCCTACTGTTCGGGTGATCCACTGCGCTTCGACATGTGTTTTCCTGAATCTACATTGGCAAGCACTTCATGTTGACGCTCATCAACGATCAACTAGACTGTTCAAGACTGCAGAGTCGTGGAAGGCCTGCCAGCGCCAGCTGAATCAGTTCATTGAGCTATTCGACAACATGCTCACGTCAGCCGGCAGAGGGGACGAGCTTGGTGGAGATAACCTCTGAAGTAGCAGCAAGTAGCATTGATTCCGTGGTCTGATCTTCCACAACATCCACCTTGATCTTTCCTTTACACAACCTGTTGTTACAAGTGTTCGACCCATGCCTCCAGACATCCAGGTCCACCTTTGCCAACCCGTGGGTCTTCCTCAAGGGTGCGACCTATGGCGGTTACACAGAGGAGGCGGCTTTCCCTCGTGCAGTCACCTCGTCGATTCTAACACTCCGACGAGGAGGACGCCGACGCTGCGCTTCCTTCCATTGACGACACCAAGGCTTCAGCAGACTGACTGCCTTCTGTGCATATACTGACATCTGAACGGGTTTTAGGGATTTGCGAGTTGTTTTTTGCACTCACGGAAGGAGAGGATTCCAAAAGAGATCCAGAGCCGGTCCGGGATCGAAAGCACCCTCTCCAAGTGGCTGCTCGAAATCCCCACGGAGTCTCATCAGATCGACGAGGCACTGCTTTTGAGATGTCGGTTGCACCACGCTGGCATTGCTGTTCCTGTCGTTGGTTCAGGCAGTCGACAAGGTCCAAATGCTGGTTCTTAAAACGTACAGCTTCATCAGATCCCAGGTGTGCGATCAGGCCGGCCTTGCAAGCTGTCACTGCGCCGGCTTGCGTGCCTTCGAAACGTCAAGCATGAAGCATGCCTCCATATGCCTCCCAGCCAGGTAGAACTGTTTGCAGAGTCCTTTTTCAAGCTGCCGATGCTGCGTCGACTAGAAGAGGACGACGATGATGTGGACATGTGTCCCATTTGTTTTTCCAGCACCGGCACGGTGAGGGCATCCAATCTCCTTTCCGATTCCTTGTGCGGCACACGCTGCTCGTGTCGGAGGACATGAACAAGATCTCACTCTCGGATGCGGACAAGACCAACTACAAGGTACTGTAGGAACATGCTCCTTTCAAACATGTTTATTGAATTTAGTGGTACCATGCAGGCGCGGCGAGAGCGCCTTGAAGGAGAGGTGACGAAGGCTTTGGGAGCTCGCAAGATATGTTCTAAGACCACGGGTTGGGCTTCGGAACGCCAGGTCCGAGAAAACTTGAAGGAGGTGTCTGAGTGCATTGAGAGGCTGCAGGCTCGCCATGTGTCGCCTTTGCCTTTCATGCTGCATTGGCAACTGCCGGACTTTGCCAGGGCTTCAAGCTCAAGTGCAATGCACAGCGAGCTCACTGAATCGAGCTCGGAAGCCTTCGTGCACCGATGTCTGTGGACAAACGAGTTGCCCTGCGGTTTTAGCGGCAGGTGTGGGGCAGGTCCATTGCAGTGTCTCTGCCTTCATTTGTTCATAGTGCCTGTTCACAGACCTGAAATTCAGAGTCTGTGTGCAGGAACCCATGTCCAATTCAGAGTCGTGTGTGCGCCGTCGTGGAATGCTCCACGTACATGGGGTGTGAATTGAGATGACAGACTAAAAGCTTAGTCCACCAATGCAACTTACACACAGGGTAGGCTGCAAAGTAGCGGTGTTTATGCACTTGGCCCCGTGTTCTGTTGTATGTGTGAATTCTTGTGGTTGGAACATGTGAAGGATTTATGATATTGTCATTGTCTTGGTCCGTTCGGAATGTTCGGAGAATCATTCGTGTTTTCGGAAAGTTCTGCTATGGCTGAGCAATGTTACCGGCAGGGGCTGGGTTTGGGTAGATGCGGCTGAAGAATCATGATTTAGCAGCTTCGGGCATAAGGACAGATCACAACTTGTCACCGATTGGGAGCACAGGTGGTTCACGAATATGTACATCTATGTACGTGTAAATGCAACGTCATGTAATGTAGTGCAGCGTAGTGCAATGCTGTGCTGCGCAGTGCAGTGCTGTGCTATGTTGTTGCATTGTATCGTACGGTATTGCAGTGGATTGTATTCTATGCTATGCTTTGCTATGACAGGCTGTTCTCTTGTGTTCTATTCTATTCGAGTGTAGTGTATTGTACGCCCTTGTAAGTCCTCCAGCTCAGATTGGGCGATCATGTCCATAATGCTACAGGTGATGGCGACGTTTCTGCTTTTAGTGAATCTCAAGATCACAACCACTCAGCACAGGCGGCAGTCCTAGATCGCTATCGAGCGGTGAAGCTGTCAAGCAGCGTGGAAGGGGAGGATTCATTGATCCAAGTTCGCTTGAAAGGTCTGTTGCCTGCCTGGGAATGTTGCAAACCAGTCGCCAGCGAAAGGTGCATGCTGCAGCTAGCTTCTGCGGCGGCCATCATGCATCACCGTCGTCGATAGGAGCTCAGGTCCAAGGCAAGCCAGAATCACAGGATTCGAGCCAATCAAAGTCAATCCCAGGATGAAAGCAGCTGCACTGACGGAATTTCATATCGTAGAACTTCAGCCATGGAGCCGATCCTGGCGCTGGATCGTGCAGAGCCAGTTCAACGTGCAAGTTGCTCCGTGCCACCTCGGCTGCCCAAATCCGAAGAGAGACGCCCGGCTTCTTTAGCGGCCTTACTCGCTGGGGCTGGCCTGGTCTCACACTACGCCCGGCACCGCGGCTTGCGGGCGGTGGGCGTTGGACTCCCGCTGCCCTCTTGGCGGGGCAGAGCATCCTCGGAGTCTTCCAGAGCAAGGCGGAGAGCCCGGAGCCCGACACGACATCCGATTCCGACTCCCTTCCTGCCGCAAGTGAGCTCAGGCAGTTCAGCTGGGCGAGAAGGCACTGCTCTTCGAGGGCTTTGTTTGCTCCAGGCGCTGTTCATACATCTGTCCCTTTCTGTTCCGAAGGTGGTGGGCATTGACCTGGGCACCAGCAATTCGGTCGTGGCAGCCGTGGAAGCAGCCACGCCGGCCATCATCCCCAACGCAGAGGCGAGGTCTATCTTGCGAGGTGTGAGACCGATTGTCGAAAGCAAGTTTTGGAGGATTCATTGTACCAGTTGCATGGATAAAGTGGTACATGTGTGAGTTTGTATGACATGGGAGGGTGAGCGCACAACCCCGAGCGTCGGAAGCTTATCAGCAGAACCTCATTGGTGCCGGGGTGTATCGAAGCAGATCTCTGCCAACTGAGGTAGTGGCATACTCCCAAGATGGAGAGATCCTTGTGGGGACGACTGCCAAGCGACAGGCTGGTGACGGCTAGTAGCTACCGGCTGGGATCCTTGGCAAGCCGGTGACTTCAGGCGGCCTTAAATCCGCTGAACACCTTCGCTTCCGTGAAGCGATGGTTCGGCAGAGACTATGCAGAGGCACCTGCCCAGTGCGCAGGTCTCCGCTCTTTTTGCACGGTCCGGCGAGCCGCCGCGAGGCGTTGTTCGTTTTGCTTTGTCGGGCCTTGGAGGTGGCGGAGGCAGCGGCAGCCATCCCGTACCACCTCACGGATGCGGACGGGAAGGTGCTTGTTCGAGTAGGGCAGTTCCCTCGATAGCCAGGGAGTCTGCAGCTTCCAGACTCCAGCCTGAAGCTTCCGGAAGTTCAGATCACTTCTGACTCGTGATTATCTGACAGTAGCGCACATTAAAAAAATACAGCTTGGAATGGCCACCAGATGTCTTCCAATGTTCCGAACCAAGTTCGCATGTGTGGTCTCCCTGCCGGATCTGGTTGCGAGGTGAGGCTGGACTGCCCCGCTCTCGGACGCGACCTCGCGCCGGAGGAAGTCTCCGCTCAAGTCCTCAGGCTTCAGCCCTGCAAGCAGCTGCAAGTAGCATCTTGTAAGCATCTGCGGTTTGAGAAAGGCTTTCCCGCCTGACAGGAAGCTGCGCAGCGACGCAGAAGCCTTCCTGAAGACCAACATTAGGAAGGCCGTCATCACCGTCCCAGCGTGCCCATGCGCTCCAAGGGCTTCCTATGCGCAGTTTCACGTTGAGTGCTCAAGGTACTTCGATGACTCCCAAAGACAAGCCACAAAGACAGCTGGAAAGCTTGCTGGCCTGGATGTCATGAGGATCTGCAACGAGCCCACAATGGCGGCCCTAGCGTGCGCCAGATCATGGCACCATAGAGCCCGACTCTGTGGCATCGATGCTTGCCGAGGTACGGTCTGGACCAGAAGAACTCGCATTGGCCCCAGTTCTTTGGTCAGTGTTCAATGAATTCATTATGGGGAAAACTCGCCAGGTCCTACCTGCTTGTTTTCGATCTCGGCGGCGGCACCTTTGATGTCTCTGTCATGGAGGCACTTGTCAAAGAGGAGCTTTAAAGGCGGACCGTAGGAGTTCAAGCCCACAGGCTGGAGATGGGATCTGTGAGGCACAGATCTCGTTGTCTTGTTTTGGCGGTCTCGTGGTGCAGCGGAAGCCAGGTTCTGGCCACCAACGGAAACACCCAGCTTGGCGGCGATGACTTCGATCGCAGGATTATGAGCTGGTTGCTCGAGAACTTTGAGAAGGAGACTGGCCTGGACCTCCGAAGCGCGGCTCGCCAGAACTCGGAGGGCCGGAAGCACCCGCGGTGCGGTCTGAAGAGAGTTGCTGGCGCTTGCGGTCCGAACTTGGGCCAAGGACAAGCAGGCCTTGCAGCGCCTTGCAGAAGCCAGCGAGAAGGCGAAGATCGAGCTCTCCTCCCTGAATGAGGCCAGGGCTGGGCCAGGTCGTACGTCCTATAGCGGCCCTAGAATCCTAGAATAATCGCTTCGATGTTTCGTGGTCCGGGCAGGTGCGGATCTCCGTGCCCTTCATTTCGGCCGACGACAGTGGGCCAAAACACATTGAGGAGGTCCTCCAAAGAGAGCAGTTTGAGGACCTGGGCCTCTAGCTGTCGCAGTGTATTGTGCAGCTGGACGGGCCTTGCAGGATCTTTGCGGCGACTTGCTCCAAAGCCTTGAAAAGCCCGTCAGGCAAGCCTTGCAGGCTCGGTCGCTGTTCTTGCTGCATCTGCTGCTGCGATTCCACGAGCAAGCGTGCAGCGACGGTGTCACAAGCCACCAAGAGGACTCGCGCATCAAGCCAAAGAATCTGCACGAGGCCGTGGACACTGCATTGCATGATCTGTCATTGCCTAGGACCTAGGATTTAAGCAGCAGGTCATCCTCGTGGGCGGCTCAACACGGATTCCAGCCGTCCAAAATTTGGCCAAGGAGAAAAGCGTTGCATGGGACTACACACCACTACGGAGGGTGCGGCAGGAGCTGAGCTCGTTCAAGCCAATGAACATCTCCATCAGTCCCGACGAGGTCAACAGTAACTGGCCAGAGCATCAGAGCTTGGGTTCTCTGTCGCACGCAGTCTTGCGCGAGGTGGTGGGCATCGGTGCTGCCATCCAGGCCGCCATGATTGCCGGGGAGGCACGATTCTGACCCGACCCTCAAACCTAGTTGCACGAGCTCAACATTGCCGAGGTCAAGGACATCATGCTCATAGATGTGACTCCCCTGACCCTGGGGGTGGAGACTGATGGCGGAGTTTTCTCGCCCGTGATGGAGCGGGGTACCGCCGTGCCCTGGAAGGCTGGGAACGACAACCACCAGGATAAATCTTCACGAAGATGACGATGTTTCCGGTGGTGAGGATGACCATAGTGGTGTTGATGTGATGCTGATCTTGATGGTGACGTTGGTAGCAATGAATGCGCCGACGACGATCATCCAGTCGTCGTGGAAGCTGACGATTGTTGTGGTGCTGCTGGTTTTCATAAGTGTCCGATTGCTTTATATTTCATGTTTGTTCAACATCGCTGCAAGCATGTTAATCACGAATTTCGTACTGCAACATAACAGTCAATGTCACTGCTGCACCTTTGTCAGTGGCATCAATCTCAGCAATCTCAGCGCCGGTGATGGTCATTGGCTGTGGGCGTCCTGTGACGACTAAAGAACACAGCGACAGCAGCGCTGACGATGAAGACAGTCGTGCCTGAGAACGAGAACCATGGGGAATGTTTGAAGGGCGATGCTGATGATGATGATCTGGGTGATGATGATGATGATATGATGATGATGATGTTGAGCCAATAACGATTGCTAGTTCGAGAGGCAGTGATAGGAGTCATGTCAGTTCCAGACCCCTAGAGGTCACAAAGGCTATTTCTGGTCGTGGCAGGCGACGAGGGTTTTCACCACGTCCGCCGATGCGCAAGATGCCATCGAGGCAGGGAGCACATCGAAGGTGTAGCCGGTTAAAAGAAGGTCTATTTTACTGTTCGTTGGCTTTTGTGTATATTACAGGAGTCTCGTGCTCTTGTCATTGGCATGTGTTGCTAGCCACGCTTTCCATGCGTAACCCAGTGTTTCATGAGCCTTAGTCGTGCGTGTGAGTTTATCTGGTATTTTATTGTATTCTATTGTGCGTTGTGTATGTGATGTACGTGATGTATGTCAACATGTGGAGGGCTGGCTGGCTGGCTGGATGGATGGATGGATGGATGCATGCAGATTGGTCCATATGTTGGTAGTTTTGTATGCATTTGTGTGTGTGTGTGTTTGTTCTGGTTGTACATACATAATCACATATTTACATCTTATCCATCTATCTGTATAAGCTAGCTATCATGCATCATCACCGACGTAGTCGGTGGCATCTCCGCTGCAGATCACGAGCATGCACCAGCTACAAGTCAGGTGGTGGTTTTGCAGGGAGAGCGGCCCCTTGCCAAAGACAACAAGAAGCTCGGCACTTTCCGGCTGGACGGCATCCCCACGGCGCCTAAAGGCCAACCACCCCGAGAAGCGAGCGGCAAGAACTGACTGGCTCTCCTCTGTGGTCGGAAGGTGTCCCCAAGATTGAAGTCTCTTTTGACATCGACGTGGAGGCCGCGTGTGAAACACAGAAGGGATTCGGGACACAACTCACCGCTTCGGCAGGGCATCCTCACAGTGGCGGCCAAAGACTGGGGCACGCGCCAGCAACAGAGCATCAAGATCCAGGAACAGATTTCTTTCAGCTGAAGAATAACTTGTGTTCATCTATCAGATCGTGGGCTTTGTAGACTTGGTCGGTGTATCTTCGAGATATGTTGCAAGGTTCCTGAATAATTAATAGCAGATCCATTCCTCCCTGTCTGTGCTGTGACACAGGACTCTTCCACCCTGGGCGATGAGGAGGTCTGGTTGCCAAAGCATTGTTTCTGGGTTTGCAGCGGCCAGGGCATTCAACGTCTGATCCATTGATCCATTGTCCATTGCGGGTCTTCAAGCCCTGCAGTTCTGGTTGCAGTCAATGCAGCTGCTGGCTCTGGGCTGCAGGTGCAGCGCATCTTAGATGAGGCTGAGGACAAGGAGTTCGACGACGAGGAGGCCAAGTTCAGGCTCGAGTTGAGGTGCGCCGGCCAGTAGTCGTAGTACAGTACAAGCAGTCTGAGAGACTTCAGGAGTTTCTTCCAGTGCAGGTATTCAGCTGCAAACCTTCTCGAGCAGACAGAGCAAAATCTGCTTGAACTAGGCCTGGACCCGCACCGGCATCAGCCAAGATTTCTTTTGGAGCCGTTGCGAGCTACAGTTGAGTGAGGCTACAAAGCCCCGACTGACGCCCGGATCACCTTGCAGCCAAAGCTGGAAGCTGTAAAGGCGAAAGTTTCGACATTCGAGATTCGAACGTATAATGAGTGGTTTTGGAGCCCATGCGACGGGATGTCAGGAAGCCTTGAAGGATGATGCTGAGTGCGACTACGTCCAGCTAAAAGACGCAGTGGATGCTGCTTGCCTGCTGTTTTTGCGGGAACAACTGTGGCAAAGCCATTCAGAAGAAGTTTGCAGGGCATGAGGTCTCTTGCAGTAGGCAAAGCTCCAGGGCCCTGCAGCTGACCTTTCACGAAAAGATCGCCAACCTCCCGCTTCATAGGTCTTGCGGTTCGAGCTCATGAAGCTGGGACTGCGTGTCTACGGCAAGCAGGCCCTGCAAATGCAGGTCCTGAAGGACATATCAGATGGATTTCTGCACGGGCAGTACAGTGCGTGTCGCAGGGCCAACTTGAGAGCTGGGGCATTCTCATAATCCTGCTGGAGCGAGGGGACTGTTGGGGTTGCACCCCTTCTTGACTCATGCTTGCTTGACTTCAGTAGAGGTCTGCTGGGTGTGAAGCAAAGCCAGGATGTTTGCTTTCCATCGAGCTATTGTGAGGAGTGTCCCTTCTCTTTCGGTCGGCATCATCTGCTTTCTGCGAAGCCTTGGCCCGAGAGGTGGCCCCTGGTGGAACTGCTGGTCCTGCACGGCCGCGCCGCGAGGGCGGAGTTGCTGGGGGCGGCTATGTCTTCCAGGCGACCTCTCATCTCAAGTGTGCGGGACCGTAATCTTGTGATTCCAGCAGCCGATGCGCAGCAAAGCAGAAGACCCTAGTCTAGCATAGAGAAACTCTCCTGAGGCACTATGCAGTGACATGAAAACATACAGAAGGACACTGGTTGCATCCACGACAAGAGACCTGCTCATTGGTTCCTGCACAGCTTACATGTTCCAGTCCTAGAGCCCCAAGACTTTCAGTTACAGACTCAGACATCCGGGCTGGCTTCGTGATGAATTAATGGCAGGTTGCACATCTTTCCCTAGTCTGCTGTCCTTTTTCATTCTCGAAGCTTTCATTCCGCTCGCGGCAGGCTCAGAAGCCGCATGATTCCAGAGCAGCCTCGTTGTGTAAAGCCGATCCATGTGTTGCTCTCGATAAACATGCATCTCTCCTTGACACCAGGTCGACGTTGCTAATGCATTGCGGATGTTTTTGCCTGCTTTGTTCATGATTCATAATTATTCCTGTTTTCATTAGCTATGTTCCCCACAGAAGAGATTTCTGCCAGCTCAGGCAGTGAGCGCGCCTGTAAGAACGGTGACGGCAGAACAATAGCCCAGAAAATACAGTGAATTGAAGCCAGAACTCACTACGCAAGCTTCAACTTATCCTTTCGGTCAACTTAGTACCACCCACACGCTGCTGCATGTTCTTGCGGCTAGACCTCTCAATACTGACCAACCAACCGGAGCCCTTCACAAACGCTTGTGTTCTCAGCCACAAAGAGATGACTGCAAGGCAAGGCAAACAGGCACGGAGATCGTCGCTCCTTGCATGTTCTGCCCCTGAGCCCTGGAGCCTCCTCTTCCTCAGGAGGAGGACCCCGACATGCCCGGCAACGAGGAGGAGGAAGCCCGAAAGTGGGCTCAGAAGAGGAAGGAGGCAGCCGCAAGAGTGAGGCCGAGGCCCTTGGACGAAGACGACTAGCCGAGCTGATGAAGAAGGCTAGACTTAAGTTGGACATGCGGCTGTTGGATACTCGTGATCATCACCGGTGGTAGTATCACTACGAAAACACCAACGATCATGGCAGTGCTGATACTTGAGCACAATGTGTCGTCAAAGCGATAGCTCTAACTCAACAATCAGAGTCACACTGCCAACCACCGTTGCTATCAAAGCGTCGCCACAGGGAGCATGAGCAATAGAGTCATTGCGCCAGAATCAGCAGCAAGTCTTGCCGAACAGCCGCGAAGTCATCACCTTCTCAGTGGCAAAAGAGGATCGGGGTTTCAGTCGCCAAAGTGGCAGCAGAGCTTAGGTTGTGGACCCTATATAAGGGAGCCGCTGTCATGTGGATATTTCGCCGTGCTAGCTTCCATAGTCCGGGTGCTAACCCAGGTGTTGAGAGTCATGCAAGTTGCGTAGTAACGCGTAGTAGTCATTTGCCTTCGTCTTGGTTGTGTGTGTGTGTTGCTGCATTGGGATTCGGTGTGATGCTTTTTGGACCTGGTCTGGCGTGTTCAACATCACTGTAGATGTTCGCAAGGTGCTAGAGGATCAGAGCATAGCCCTAGGTTCAGCTGTCGGCGCGTTTTTGGTTCCGGAGTTTGCAGGAACGTTGCAGATAAGCTCCAAGTCGCATCACGGTGTTTTCCAGCCATGCCGCGCGTTGCATTGATGCAGTCCGTCATTGCCTTGAATTGCATGGTTGGGGGGACAGCCGCTTCATCTCCTGATTTGGACGGCTTCTTTTGCTTTACAATCTCGCGCAGAGTGCTTTAGTCAGTGTGTCCAAACCATGGAGCTGCAGCACGTGTCTCTCCAAGATGAAGAAGCTGAAGCAAGCTCTGCAAAGAGCAGCTGACTTGGCCATGTGTGGGGCAGTAGTTGCTGCAAATCTCGAAGGAGTACACACGCCATGGGTGAAGGTCTTCACCAAGAACATTGGAGAGGCAAAACAGAACCGTACGGCAACAACGAAAGCGGTTTATGCCACTTTTGTGGCACTGATATTGTTGAGCACGGTGACTGCAACTTCCTCCACAGCCAACACATTCCTCACACCTGGTGCCCAATACGACTTTGTCAGTTGAAGTGTCAGCTGCGGGAAGGTCACGCAGGGAGTGCAAGGGATGCCCAGCTGTCCGCCGCACGCATGCTTCAAACAAAGAACAACATGGCAGGATACACTGGTTCCAGGGTCCAGTTCGAGAAGCTGACATCACTAGAGCCCGGCTATTCCTTCCAAAGCATAGAGATCGAGAATGGCGGCATCCAGTACACCCCCTTAATGAAAGCACCGCAACATTGGAAAACGCTTGTTCTGTGCAATGTGGCCAGTGGAACTCGAGCCAGCGCGGCTTGGAAAAAGTGGTACTATTGGCGCTGCAATCCTCCCGAATGCAACGAGCATTTGCAAGGTTCTGCCATCTTCTTCCGTGGCTTCTCGTTCTGGAGGTTTTGTCTATGGAGCCGCCAACCACGACATTTTTCCTCCCCTCGTCTGGCTGGCAGACGCATTTCCAAACGCCACGCTTTTTGGTGGAGTCGAACCCTGACGCGTCCTATGGCGAGGGGCTGAAGACCTTCGGGAAAATCAAGGATTTCCTTAATTGATTCGACCCAGAGCAGTTCAAGCGGGCGAAGTTCATCGACAGGGGCTACACGGTCCGCGCTCAGTCCCTCAAGGTTTTGGTCCCAATTCTTGCCATGGGCCATCCAGAGATGTTGCGGAGCTGGGAGCTCTTCAGGCACATGCGACAGCACATGTTTCGCATGCACCCACAGCTGCCGCTCAAGTCTGTTGTCTGCCTGGTGAGAGAGCACGAGGATTCGGGGCGTGGACGCAGGCTTGTGCAAGAAGATGCGGACAAAGTTTTGGAGATTGCAGAGGACGCCCTGAAAGCGCATTCGCGTCCAGAGTCACTGGTGATTTTCAATGGGACCTGGAATGGAAAGAAGGCCACATTTGAAAAGCAATGCCGAATCTTTGACTTTGCTGTGGATGCCTTGTACGGGCCGACCAGCTGCTGTTGAGTTCATTTGCTCAGAGCAGTCTTTCAATGTTAAAGGATGCACTCACGAGGGCAACCCCAACCTAATCTGATATGCAACCTACTGGGGCATGCATGGAGGATCAACGTGGCTGCACTACAATGTGTTCGTCTATGATGCAGGTGACAATGTTGCGAACTACATGAAGGTGGACCTAGACTGCTCCCAGATGGCCATGGATTCAGCACTCGGCGGCCTGCCACGGCCTGGGACCATTTGACATGCTAGCCCCTCGCATGCGCATAGTGGGATCAGGTAGGCTCCAAGAACAATGCGAAAATCGCGGTGATGGCCGATGGAGTTGCTATCAGGCAGGTCGACTCCACAGACCCGCGTTGCAGATGTCGAACGGAGGACACGCGGCCGCTCGTTCTTCGGGCAAAAGTGCCATGCTTTTGCCCAGACGAACGGGTGGGTGCTTTTGTAGAATTCCATGGCAGTACCGTCATCAAGAATAGTCAAGGGCGCCCTTGGGTCAACGTTTGTGTGGACAGCCATGCAGGCATGACAGATTTGCTTGCAGCCACAGTTCTGCACGAAGCGTTGAACGTCGGCGATTCTCACATTGAAGATGCGGCTCTTCCAGAACGATGTGAAAGCATATGGAGCGAAGAGGTGCAAGAGTTTGGCTGCGCCAAGCGAAGGCCTGGCTCTTCTGAACGCAGACTCTTATGTGAGTTTCTTTATTGAGTGTTTGGAGGTGAAAGAAAAGCTATTGAGTAATTCGCCTTCTTTTAGGCCAGTGATGACACATTTATGCAGCAATGCTTCTAAAAGGCCTTGCGCCCAGCACAGAGTCTTCCGGCAGCCATGATAAGACCACTGATTGGACTATGGATGAGATAATGTTTTGTTCCTTCACTGGTCTTGGTAATGGGGAAGTACGTAGTGGTGATAGAGTATATAGAGTTGGTGAGATGTAGGGGGGAGTATAGGAAGAATCTTCTACTAGGGTGACTGGTGGTATTATTGCCCAGAATGGGCTTCAGGGTTCTGCTAACTCAAAGCCCATGGGCGGCGAGCCTTTGCTTCATATTCACCGTAGGCTTCACAATTAAACGCATGCATCGATACCCAAAAAAACAGCTGGTGCATAAAATGCCCAACATCCCAAACCACCTTCACAGTCTCTGCTCCCTTTCCCTACAGTCCTACAGATGCCTGGCTTACTCAGCAATCTGTAGTCTGCATCTGGAACTTTGCCTGCACGGTCAGCTGTCGCAACAATGAGCACGACGAGCCACGACAGCAAGCAATGGCTCTCAAGCAGACAGCGGAAGGAAGTACACTGGATTTCACTGCTTCAGTTCTTAGGTGGCCCAAGGCCTCTTCAGCTTGTGTTGTGTGATCTGTGCGGCATGACCTTCGACACATCATGGCAGCAGATGCCGACAAGGTTCATGCCTCAGAAAAGCCAGAGCTTTGTCTGGGAAGCAGTCTTGTCTAAACCCAGAAAGACGGGGTTGAAGACGTGGGCCCTACATCGGAAGCCGGGAAGTTGAGTTGAGTCTTGATTTTGCTGCTCATTTCGCCGCATACGTCCATAGTGCTCATCCATTGCAGAATGCCAGGCAGTCATTCAGGAGCACCTTTCCCGTGGCACATGGCCGGCACTGCCACGTTTGGCGGGACATGGTATGGTGTCACTGAAAGGGGAAAAACATGCCTGCAACGCCGAGGAAGATGTGCAAGTGAGTTGCCATTCGTGCTATATGATTATCAAGACTTTCTTAACCAGAGCATGAAAGCAATTCTCAGGCATGTGAAGTTGCAGCAGTGGCGGAATGAGCCTTATGTTTACTGTTTCATTTTGGCCTAGACTTGGTGGTGGTGATTTCTCCGTGGAAGCATTCACATCAGAGCCGCAGCGGTGGCGACGAGTTCCGTGCTCCAACAAATGCTCGATTTTTTATGAATACATGTCAGCACGACGTTCTTTGACTGCCTCATTGCAGGCATGGAACCGGGTGCACTGCCCGTTGGCCCAGTTTTTGTAGTGTTATTGAGCATCTTCCTGCATGGCATGACATACTGCGAATCAAGCTTCTTGACTTCGTCGCCTTTCCTTTGCCCCTCCCAGTCGCCTCAATCCCAAGAGATCCCAAGGTGGAGACACCTCTGGACCAGGCGAAAGCGAAGGCATTCCTTGGATTCAGGATGGTGGAGGACCCTGCCATACTTTGCATCGAGGGTCCTTTGCAGGGATCTCTGTCAGAGAGGAGGTTGAACGATTCGGCTGCTGCCTGAAAGAGCACATGCAGGCCAAAGCCTACTGCTGTCTTGGTCTGTAGCCGAGCTTTTCCCGTCGAAGGTTCCAAGGGGCTGGGCTCCCGAAAGCCGCCGGCCAACGACACCCACGGTGGAGTAGAACTGAGGCAAAGCGACCTCGAGATCTTCGGGCGACATCGACATTTGCAGGGTGAATCCAAATGGATCTTACAGGGGGCCCTGCTGGAGAGCCGCCGTAAACACAGACGAGTCGGCGAGGAGGCTAACTTGCACTGCAGCGAACCCGAAAAGGCCTGGATCGCAAATTGCTGGCAGTTGAAGCAGCCTACCTCAGCCTGACACTCGAATCTTGGTGTAGAGCAGCCGTCCCTTGTCACCTCACTGATGGCTCAAGGAAGGTACCATGGCATGAGAGGGAGTGTCGCTCATGACTCATGGCTGTCAGCTTTCGATTTGTTGGAAACCTGGGCAGGCACAGCCCAGATAGAGGCTACCAAGGCCTGTGCAGCAAACTCCCAGGTGACCCAGCCATAGAAAGCGCCGAAGCCGCCAAGCCCGCATCACGTTCACCTTAGACCCTCAGCACGACTCTGACCCTTCATGGTTTGAACAAGCCATCGGCGTGCGTGCAACAACTCCAAGAGCTAGGTAAGTACGACTGCCGAGAATTCAATGCTTCAGCTTTGGTGGTAGAAGAGCCCGTCGGGAGCACAGTTGCTTCTCAGTTTCCTCTGCTTTTCGCTTGCTTACATGCTGCACCGGGCTGCTTTCAGCGCCTGTAGACTATTTTGTTGGAGAGCCAGAAGCGCACTGAAGCAGGCGAGCTGCAGGTGCAGGGAGAGGTGTCTTTGGTATTTGGTCAGTTGAGCAAGCACCCAGACCAAAGATGTCCGCTGCCCTCGACGCCTCAGGCCTTTGTGGCGAAGGTTACTCAAGGTTGCGGACAGTAAAAGTTGAGAGGCATCTGAAATTTCACCCGCTGCATGGAGTTATACACACATGTTTGCCCATGCATGTTCGTTGCCACGTATCGAGCCCGTGTGCCATTTCCGTCCATACACGTTTGCATGGGAATCAGTGCTGGCTCTCTTCCTGGTGCCGAGGCCGGCATGGAGGCTACAACAAACATAGCGGACGCCCCAAAGAGGAAGGCCGGATACATGGGCGGGCCTAGAGATCAGTGCAGATCCGGCACTCTTGGTACACTACCACAAACATGGACATGCCGTGAAGCTCCATTTGCGGCACACGCAGTTCAACCCACACCTGGGGACAAAGTCCTCACGAACATCCGTGTTCCTCGGTTCGCTTTCGCAAGATTGCAATGGGTCCCACTGAGACTGCTGGACTTGTCCCAGGCCAAGAACTTGAAGACAGATGATTCCCACCTGCGGTGTCCTTATTTCGGCAAGCAGCGCAAGACAGGAAACCACCAAAAAGTCGAAGCATTTCAAGGTGGATGTTCATGTGCTTTCCCGCCGACGGCAACTGTTGCTTTCAGGACGCTGATGAGATTGCAATTGATGTCGGTGTTTCCGCAGCAAACTCTGTTCCATTGTTGACATCAGGAAGATACTGAAATGCGTCCAGACGCAGATCCCTTCACCATTGCAGGGAATGCAGGGCATGTTGCCACCGGAGAGGATGTCGCAGGGACAGAGGCAGGCAAATAATATTCATAGCGACGGAGTGCAACCTCGAATCATCCCAGCTTCAGGAATACGAAAATGCCACAGACAATGGCTCCCCGAGTGCAGGTGTCTTTCATGCAGACACTTGGCCGACTATTCTTTTGGAAGCATGCTGGCGAGCTGAGAGGCAGCTGAGCTTAGGACCAATCCCAGTTTGCGAACGACAAGTTGTCCTCAGGTGCTTGTCTTGTGGTTGTCGCTGACAGAAACAGTTTTTTTCTCCGAAGCGACCTTCGTCTCGGACTCGCTGCAGGGGGTACGGATTTCCGGCTGAAGGAGCAGCTGTCGCCTGCTCTGAGGTTCATTCTGGATGGTTTTTTTTGGCTCGACCTTTCTGAAAAAGCATCGCATGAGAGGCAAGAGGTGGAGCAAATCAAGGCTGACATCGCTGCGAAGCAGGCCCTGAAGGCAGCGGAAGTCGGAGGCGGGGGGATTTCGCAAAGAGACGGCTGGCGCTTCGCGGCCACGTGGCCATGTGCGAGGCACGCTGACGGACGTGCAGGAGACCGACACCCGGGCAGAGGCTGACCCCTTACTTACTACAGACACCCACAACACTGCTCGCAACTGAACATGAAGGACAAGTACTCAGAGCATATGCCATGGCCAAATTCCTTGCAACAGCAGCATGATGGACAGGCTGAATCGTAGCAATAGTCAATAGTCATCATGATCCTCATCATCATCGCATCATCATCGTCGTCACATCGTCACCGAGCCCAGAGCGGCTGACAGTTGGCAATGTTGCATCATTCAGCAGAGTCAGTCAATCGCAGTTACAGAACGTCTTGAGGACTGCATCTACGCACGTGAGCACATGCAGAAGAAGCATATCCACATCCTTGTTTGATGGTGGTTCTTCCTCAGGCACAGGCGCCGCCGAAGGTCGGCGCTGAGCGAGGCCGAGGAGCATCGGGCCGCGCGGTGCAGGCCGAGGCGCGGCCGCGACGGCAGTGCCAGGTTGCAGTTTATAGAAGTCCAAGTCTAAGTAGCAGTGATGGGGAAAAGGGTGGAACTCGGCTTTTGGGCACTGCGGAGGGTGTCTTGACTTCCCTTGACTTTAGGATTCAGTAATGGTAGAAGGAAGAATGCGGTAGAAGTAGCAGAAGCAATGGCGGCAGCTTGAAGAGAAGAAGTACTGGGGGTGATGGACGGAAGCAGGCTTTCCAGCAATTCCTATATCTTACTAACCTTGACACGGTCGTGGTTTTCAGGTGCCCACAGAACGGCCGATCGCCTTCGAGGCGTGGCCGGTGCTTCCAGGGTTGCTTGCTGTCTTCCTCAAGAAAGACAGCAAGTAGGGTTTTGGGATTATGGTGCTCCGCTTGCGGGACATGTTCGTCTTCAGCTTTTTTATGGCGTGATCATTCCGAGGAACACGGTAATTGAAACACGATGACTTCTGCAGGGCATTCCAGGGCTCTAGGTTAGGGTCGTGGTCTCCGCCTTGTCCTGGTCCTACTGATTGTTGTTCTTGCTATTGTTATTGTCGTTGTCATTGTTACTGTTGTTGTCATTGCTATTACTATCGTCATAAACTAGTTGTCTTTTGTTACCGTTGTTGTTGTTGTTGTTGCTTCTGTTGCTGCTGCTGCTGCTGCTGCTGCTGCTGTTGCTGCTGTTGCTGCTGTTGCTGCCGTTGCTGTTGCTGTTGCTGTTCCTATTGCTGCTGTTGTTGTTGTTGCTGTTGCTGTTGCTGTTGCTGTTGCTGTTGCTGTTGTAATTGCTGTTGTTATTGCTGTTGTTGTTGTTGTTGGTGGTGTTGTTGTTGTTGTTGTTGTTGCTCTTCTTGTTGTTGTTGTTGTCGCGGATGCACAGTGGGCATATGTTGGTGCATGGTGACGATGAGGGCGTTGGTCGATGATGTTGGTGTTGTTGATGAGGAAGAGGATTGTGATGGGGACGATGGTGATGTTGTGGCTGATGTTTGCGGTACTGGTACAGGAGATCACGGTGGGGTTGGTGATGGGAGAGGTGGTGACGAGTACGATGGTATTTATCTTGACCGTGGCAATGATGAGTGTCAACACCAAGTTGTCCTCCCATACCATGGTCTGTAGCCGCTATCGCTGTTGCTAACTACCTCCTGCACGCTGGAGTCAAGGTCTGGGCCCATCACTGCTTGGATGTATTGTATCTTGTTGCATCAGCACAGATCACAGCATAGCAGTGCATCATGTCGTCATACCTATGCTAGCCATCCTATGCTGGCACCATGCAGCAAAGCACAGTGCAGGGTATGCAACACATCATATCATTTGGCCAGACCTTTCTGCATTTGTCATCATGTTGTCCAGCGCACTTTGAAACCCCACTTGTGAATCCTTCTACCCCCCTTAGTTAATCCCGTGGCGCCGTGGGATGGGGCCTGCGAAAGCATCCTTTTTGAACTGGCAGCTCTGCTTTCGATGCTATGCGGACGTGCTTACGCAAACTGTAGACACGCCTACAACCGAAAACCCTAAGCCCGCACGGAGAGGCTTCTTCAGGCAAAGCTTCAGGCAAAGCCAACTGAGAGAAAGAGTAGTTAGTAATCAAACTCCCTGATAGTTAGTTCGTATAGACTCGTAACAGAACATACCACCAAAACTCTACTCTTAATACTAACACCCCCCCCCCCCCCCCCCCCC